ACACACACACACACACACACACACACACACACACACACACACAGACACACAGACCCTCCAACAGGCACACTTAGCGTTTACAGGGTGCGGCAAAAGATGTGGCAACGGTGAATATGCCCGTAAAAAGGTCAAATCGATCGATACGTGGTAAAACTTCAACAGCATTTACCAACAGGTCTATAGATCATAAAAACAAAGTAGGCCTCGAAATAGCCTCCTTTGTGCGAATACAGGCTGACAGTCTCCTAGGAAACGCGTCGACGGCGGCACGGAGGTAGTCTTCGCCGAAATCCTCCCATGTTATAACGAGGGTTGCACGTAGAGCATCCAAGCTTCTATGCTGAGTAGAGCAGGCTTTCGTCTTGAGAACTGACCACAGAGTCCAATAGATTTAGGTCTGGACTGTTTGGGCGCCAATCGTTCGACGAGATGAAGTCCGAAAAGTGCGTTGCGCGCCAGTCCCGTACCAGCTTGGACCTGTGCGCTGGAGCTGAGCCCTGTTGATGAGTCCATGTCCGGGTGCTGAAATGGGATTCTGCCCGAGGAAGTACCTCCTTCTCCAACACGCCTTTCAACTCAATCTCGCTACCCATCTTTACCCCTTTCTCTAAGAGAATCAGGGGCAGCTTACCGTCCGATGTGATTGCCCCAAAAACAATCAACAACCAGGGGTTTCCAGATCGCTAAGCAATCCCTCCATGTTGGCAGGCTTCTGCAAGGCTTCCCGCTATCATCCCATCGTTTTGGGTGTTCGGGAGTTGATCTGTTGGAAACAGACATTCGTCAGTGAAAAGGATGTTGCTGTGCCGTGCCTGCGAAGATGGCTTCGAAAGCTCCTTATCTAGCTCCTATCCTTCGAGCATAGTTTTCTTCATACGCTCAGTTAGCATGTGAGCTCATCTGATCTTATAAGAGCGAAGTCGAAGGTGGTTGGTGACAATCCTTCGGATAGATCGAGTGTAAATTCCCACCTCAAGAGCCATTTTTCTCTCGGACCTACGAGGGTGACGGCGCATTTTCTCTCGAATGATTTTTACGATCTCCTTTGTCGTTTTACTCTTCGGTCTTCCACTTCTAGGCTTGTCCTCCAGTCCGTCCGTCGTGTAGCCTTGTTACTGTTGACTTTGTTGTACACGGTTCTTAAGGAATCTGGAGCTGCTGAGAGATGGTCTTTGCAGTGCATCCAGTCAGATGGAGGTGCAGGATGGAGGCTCGTTGGTCTTTGGTTGTCACCATTCTGTGAAAATGGCATATTTATGAATGGCCAATCCATGGATTGTATAAAAGAAGACTTGCAGTAGATAGTGGCACAGATCCTGTCGAGATCGAAGGCCTCGTTTCCTATGAGGACCTGAAACGGGATTTTGTCAGATCTTTTGCCGCACCCTGTATATAAGTAGGATATTGCTCGCCAACTTTTGAGAGTCGCAGAAACTGAGCTGACTTCACTGAAGTAACACACCCTTCGTCGTTTCTGCATTGTTCTCACTAAAACACATATATCGGCCCCCCTACCGTATTGAAGAGCACTTTATCTAAACAGAAATATTTCCTCAAACGATGTGCAGATCTATGACAAGGTGTGTGAAACATAGGATTGAGATCGATTGAAGCGAGGAAAGTTTTAATTAAAAGGGTTCCGCACAAACGCAACGAAATATTATTATTAGTTAGCGTAGAAGTCGTCAAACACCGGGATGTCAGTTTAGAAACATTTTAAAGGGGAAAGTTCGTGAAAATGTATAATCACCACCACTACCAATGACAATTATCCAGCGAGCGGGGAAGTCGGCTTATCCCCTCTGTGAGAAAAAGGACTGTAAGCCAAGGAGGTCACCCACTGCATTTTGGAGCCACCAAACAAGGCGAGGTTCTTCTTGGTCAGGGATCGGTGAATTAGGTGGCAAGGTGAAAGCCAGAGCGGGCGGGATCATATGGATAGGGATGGTTAGTAATCATTATTTTCGCATCAACCTAATAAAACCAGTAACAATATGAAGAAAATCATGGACAGGACAGGATCACGATGCTCAAAGGTTCCCATAGGAAACGAATGTCCACAAACCTTAAGCGTTATTCCCATTGGTTCATCCGAATCCTTTTGGAAGTGAACTAGTCGAACTCTCGCAACAGAGTCCAACAGAGGGTCATCACTGTCGTCACAGACTGAATGTTAATGAGTGACAGCCTTCCATAGAGTCTGTCCATTCTTGTAATAAATTGAGGGTTCGTAAGTGAAGAAAGTGATTCATGGGTATATAGACAGGATGCATATAAATGGCAGAATACCTTCAGATGAGTCAGAAAATATCTCCCCCGCAGAGTGACCAAATTTCTTTGTTTCCATCGGAAGTACTCCGTCGTTGAAAAATGAATTATGCGAAGCCTAGAACACATACTCTCGAACAAACAAAACACATAAACACACAACAGTACAAATATTTATTCTACTCGGTACCAAAATCAAGACTTTCTGACAATGACAGAAGAACAAAAAAATAGGCCTTATAAACATCCTACTACATATAACGCGCTAAGTGTGTCCGTTGGTTTATCTGTGTGCGTATGTGTATGTGTATGCGTATGTGTGTATGTGTAAGTGTATGTATATGTGTGACCGAAAATTCATAGCTCCAACTCCCATGGACCTAGAGTTCAAATTTGGTAGGAGTACAGGCGGCAGGATTATACTTATGGTGGGTGGCAGGACCGGGCTCCGCTCGCAGGGAGCGGGGTTTGTGCTAAACCAATGTCTGAGCGGAAAGTCGTAACTTCTGTATCATATTTTCAGGTGGACCTAAAGCGCTCAAACATGGTAGGAGAGGCCATTTTAACACGAGAAGGAGGGGAGCGCGGCGTTAGCCGGGCGAGCCGAGTGGTACATACATACATACTTACTCACTTACTTACTTACTTACATACAGTAGTGGTCAAAAATTTGGAAACTTTTTAGTTTCTCGAATAGCGCGGCCAGTTGAAATCGTAATTATCCTAAAATTACATATTAGATATAAAATCATGTGGGAAATATGGCATGCCATGTGGCTTTACGAAAATCAAAAGTCTGATTCCTAAAATAAGAAAAGTTCGAAGAACAGCGCGTCAAAAGTTTGGAAACTCTCTACCTGCCATATCGTTTCGGCTTCTTCTTTTCAGGTTGGTGGATTTTTCGTAATGTTTAATCAAAGCATGGTATATTGGGCGATTTCAAATGGGATTAGGTAAAGAAGACCCATTGTCCGTCCAGGAAGCAATTATTGAAGTCATTCGTTCCAGAACGAAGATGAGTGTGCTTTCCCAACAATATAATCTCGCTAAAAGCACAATGTCTAAATTTCCGAGCGTTATCGAAGCCGAAGATTTATGATGAGGGAGTCTCGCTCCGAAAGATCACGAAAGACATCACTAAGAGTCGACTCTGTAATTCTTAGAATTTCGATGGGCGGACCGCGCGCGACGGCTTCGGATATTCGTAAACAAGTAACATCTTGTCTGGGATTTCTATCAGCCAAAGCACTGTCCAACGCTGGCTCAGAGTCGGAGGACTCTTTGGAAGACGTCCTAGCAAAAAACCACTGGCCACCGCAAACAATCGGAAGGCTCGACTTGACTTTGCGCGCAATCGCCTCGCCTGGAAAAGAGATGGCTGGAAAAAAGTTTTGTTAAGCGACGAGTCGAAGTTTTGTCTTTTCGGGAGTGATAGCAAAATGAATATAAGAGGTCCCGTGAATAAGCGATGTGATCCGAAGCACCAAATCCGGACGGTCAAACATGGTGGAGGAAGCGTTATGCTATGGGGATGTTTCAGTCAATCCGACGATGGTCCACTCGTTCGTATCCAGGGTAATATGAACTCAGCTCAGTACAAGGACATCTTGGACAATGTAATGCCCCCATTAGCCAACCAAAACCTACCGACACGGTGGAATTTTCCAACACGATAATGACCCGAAGCATACTTCCCGTCTCGTGGCCGACTTCCTCCAGTCTAAGGAAATCAATGTTACGGAGCGGCCGAGTCAGAGCCCAGTCCTGAATCCTATAGAGCACCATTGGGAAGAACTACCACGTCGTACAAGCCAGGTTCCTGTTAGGAATGCCGACGAAAAAATCAATCTATTGTCTAGAGGGTGGGCTCTGATACCCCAGTCCAAAATTGAAGCCTTAATCGATTCAATGCCAAGAAGATGCAAA